GGGATAAAGCTTGTGGCGATGTGGAGAATGGGTTCAAAGATAGCAATGTTGGAAGCAAGAATACCAGCAAGGAGGCTGCTGCAGGGGGCTCCGTCAATAGATAACAGCAGCTTGAATTTTTGTGGGAACTATGGGGATGATGCAAAGTATCAGTAGACAGATTCAGGGGATACTTAGGTGACGGGACAGAAGGAACTTGGTGATGGTTGCATGAGAGGGATGAGGGACAAGGAAGATAAAGGATGGCTGCCATGTGTCTGGTCCACGCAACTGGCAAGTAGAGGAGCCATTTCCTGAGGTTGGGAATGCAGATGAAGAGGCTTTTGAACAGTGGATGCTTTAACGAGAGAGCTCTGTTAGCTGAAGGCAGGATGGGTGGAAGGGAAAAGTCTAGAGTCAGGACAAGGAGCTAAGATGTCCCTGTAGTAGTATAGGGGTGAGGTGATACGGCCTGAACTAAGGTGAGCAGCTGGAATAGAAAGATGGGAAGGGTCTTAGAAATTAAAATAAAATCCTGAGCCCTCTTAGTGACTGAATGAACTCCCTCTTGGCCAAGGGGACTCTAGAAAAAAAACTGAAAAACTGAATTCTTGGCCACGATGGGAAGGGAGGTCAGACATGCCTCATTATACCACATGCCTTTTGGAGGTTAGGTGTAATGACTAGCATTAATGTTAAAATACAGATAATAAGACTGACAAGGTCAGGCACAGTGGCTCCCACCTATAATCTCAGCACTTTAGGAGGCTGAGGCAGGCAGATCCCTTGAGCCCATGAGTTTGAGACCAGCCTGGGCAACACAGTGAGACCTTGACTCTAAAACAAATTTAAAAATTAGCCTGGTGTGGCAGTGTGTGCCTGTAGTCCCAGCTACTTGGGGCTGCTGAGGTGGGAGAATTGATTGAGCCCTGGAAATCGAGGCCTCAGTGAGCTATGATTCCCACCACTGCACTCCAGCCCAGGTGAGAGAGTGAGATCCTGTCTCTAAGAAATAAAAAATAAAAAAGAAGAAGTAGAGGAAGGTTGTGTGGCATTTTTCTAAAGAAAGTTCAGCAAGGTATGGAGCCCAAGCACCCCATCAGAGGAATCCTGTCTCCCAAAAGTAGGCCTACTGAGTAACTGTGCCATACTCTTGCCTGAGAGCTGCCCACGAAAAACGTGGTTTCAGTGCAAACATAGCAATAGATCTCTGAGCCCAGTAGCTGGAGCCCTCAGTCAATTACTCTTCCCGCTAAGATTGAAGAGGTGCTTTTACTCGGTCATCACACAAGAGTCTCAAAATTTAATGTGCATACAAATCACCTGGGAATCTCATTAAAATGCAGATTCAGTAGGTCTGAAGTGGGGCCTAAGTTTCTGTATTTCTAACAAGCCCTCAGATAACATGCTGTTGGTCCACAGACCTCACTTTAAGTAGCAAGGGCCTAGAGAATACTTGAAAGCGTCTTATTCAGGCTATCTAAATGGGTTATTGAGAACTCTTCACAAGTTTAATGCCTCACCCCTGATGGGCCAGGCAATTCTGTGGAAAACAGATATACACAATTCTAGGTTAGATTTTTGCCATTCAAATAACTCATTCCTCCTTGTGTAAAATCACAGCTGTCAAGCCCTTGTCATACTACTTGTACAATCCCTTAATGATTATCTCTGTATTACCTGCATATGTGCATTCGTTTTTGGTGCCAAGAGAGGGCTTTGACCCTCTATGATGTCAATCATCTCCTTTTCCCCCTCCAATTATTTGTATGGACAGTATGTTTCTTAATCTTAAGCAAAACGTTTCAAGCCCCTCCTATCAATATTGGGCTCCAAAATCCACCCTACATAGAAAGTTTGGTGCAGCCAGTTATCATAAATTTATCTTCTAGGCGTGAGTTCTCAGGGATTTGGGGATGTGCATCTCCTCCTGATTGCCTGAAGATTTGTGCAGTTATCATCCTGACCCCTTTGCATATGTTGGCTCAATTCCCTATATTGTGTCTACTGCATAAAACAGCAGTTTCATACTTTCCAGAAGCCATGGATTTCTTTCTTCAAAGAATGCTTAAGTAGATTAAGCTGGTATGGCTGAAACAATGAGAGATGAAATTAGAGAGATGACCAGGAACATATCTTGTGAGTTAAGGCGTTTAAGTGTTATCACGAAAGCAAGGGGGAGCAACTAAAGGATTTCAGGGGAGGAGACATGATCAGACTTACACAGTTTGATTACTTTGGCAGAGGCGAGAGAGGAGGATAACTTGAAGAAGGTCCAGATGCAATCAGTAAGATTAGGAAGGAGCATATGAGGAATACAAAGGATATCAATAAATCAGAGTCATCAGAACTTGCTGCCTGGGTATGGAGGTAAGGAATGAAGCGTATAGTATAGTATGTCTTCCAATTTTCACCTTGGACAATTATAGATGCAAGGGTCGAAGGGTTGCCAATTATTGAACTGAGGAATATAGAAAAAGGAATAAGTTTAGGAAAAAGTGATTGAGTTCAGTTGTGAACATACTGAGTTTAAGGGAGACAGCCAGTAACCATTTGAGTAAATGGATGTGTACATCACTGGAATCTGTCTTAGAGACCCTGTCTTGGATCCAGGACTGTGCTTTTATTTGCAGAGTATTCTCAGTCTCTGCTTAGGAAACTGCTCAAGGTTTACACCAAGTAGTCTTTTGCAACTGAATTGTCTATACCATCTTGCATTTTTCCAGCACATTCTTCAAAATGTAGGTTGACTGCTACACTTGTTACTTTAAATTACTTCTTCTCTTTTCAAAGGGCTCCTTGCATGTCCAAGTTTGGGGCCTTATTCAGGGTTCTCTGTATTGGCTACATGCTAATGCAGGCCACAGAGGTGGGGAGGGTTTTTTTCTGTTCCCTTTGGCAGAAAGAGCCATTTCCATTTAGAATTTGAGCTCAAAAGAAGACTTAAAAGGTTGTAGCTTTGAGGAAATAGGAATTAATAATAGAAAATCATGGGTGTAATCTGTAGAAGATGGTCTGGGTTGCTACGATATGTGGTTAGAATAGAGGTACTATGTGTAACTAATTGAATATATTGTGCTTTGTTTAGAAGGTTAAGTTTTAACGTGGCATTTTTCAAACTTGGGTTTTAAAGTTTTAGTGGGGCTGCAGGGAGGGAGGGAGTACCGCTAAGTACTTGGGACTTCAGTCCTATTTCCACTTCAGCCAGAACAATCAGTCCTATTTTCATTTCAGCCAGAACGAATTTGTTTTACATAAACTTTCATTGAAGAAAAGGTTCCACGGCCTTTTAAAAAGTGTGAAAACCACTATGTTTGCATAAGCTGTAAGAAATATGAAAAAGTCAGTGAAGAAAGAGTTCAGGGACGGGTGTGGTGGCTCACACCTGTAAACTTAGTGCTTTGGGAGATTGAGGAGGGCGGACCATTTGAGGCTAGGCATTTGGGACCAGTCTGAGCAACAGTGAGACCCCCAACTCTACAAAATATAAAAATAAACAGCTGGGTATGGTGGCACATGCCTATATATAGTCTTAGCTACTGGGGAACTGAGGCAGGAAGATTGCTTGAGCCCAGGAGGTTACAGTGACTTATGCTGATAGACCAAATATATGACAGTGGTCTCATAAGACCATTTGCATGTCCAATACCATATTTGTAATATGGTATTTGTACTACCATACCTTACGGTATTGGTACTACCATATTTGTACTGTACCTTTTCTTTGTTTAGATACACAAATACCATGTGTTACAACTACCTATTCGGTACAGTAACATGCTGTACAGATTTGTAGCTTAGGAGCAACAGGCGATACATAAACCAGATAAGTAGTAGGTTACACCATCCAAGTCTGTGTAAGTATATTACTCTATGAAGTTCACACTATCACGACGAAACCGCCTAACGGTAAATTTCTCAGAACTTATCCAATCTTTAAGAGATTCATTACTGTACTTCTGGTTCAGGTTTACTTTTGTTCCCTTCACATCTTAGCACCTTAAAGGCAATGTATGACATATGATTTTGCATCTCCCATGTTTAGCACAGTAAAAGCCTAATGTCTGTTGAATTAATAAATCCACAAGGCTTATACTCAATATAAGTGGAATTCTCTACAGGTGTTGAACTCCTAACTCTGAGTTGTTTTATTTTTCTCTACAATGATTTATCTTAAGAGAACGGTTTTAAAGGGGGCCAGAAAATTACCCATGATTAAGAAAGATGTAATATTTTGAATTTTTGTGTATTATGTGTGAAGAAAAGTGAAGCAAGCAAGGATGCCTTGCAATCAAGAGAATAAATGCCCGATTGAGGTGTCTTGAATAAGGGGGTTGATACAATTCATAACCAATGTGTAAGAATGTCATGGAACGTGTGTTATTGGCGAAGGAGTAATGGCAAACTGATTCATTTTTTGGGGAAATGAATCAATGTTCCTTATGTTGACTGGCATAACTACTGTCTCGCACAAAAGTTGCCCCCACAATATTCAAGGAGACTAAAGAAAACGATCGCAATACAACAGTGAATGGGAGAATAAAGTTTCTCCTCACGCTTTCAAAATTACCACCAGCCTTCTCTGTTCTCCAGTTTTGGTAAATCAGACCTAACTTTGCCAAAATCCGACAAAACTTGAAACATGTTAAAAACAAACACACAAAAACTTTGCCTGTGAATGTAAAGACGAGTCTGGGGCTGTGGACTGAGGTTTGAGTCCCTTCCCGGGACGCGGCGGTAAATGACTCCCCAAAGTCTCCTGGGCGTTCGGATGGCGCCAAGGCCGCAATGGGCAAGCAAAAGCCCCCCGCCCCGGCACATTCCCAGGAGACAAAGCCAAGAAAGCCTCCGGCAGCAACTCGGGAGGGCCGACTTTCCCTGTGTCTTTGCCCTACGGGAGAGTGGAAAGGCGGGAACGAGGCCCCAACGCACAACTCCACACCAAACCCGGGAGCCCGGAGCCCCTCGCACCGTTCGGCCCGCAACCCGGAAGCAGATGCCGGCTGCGCGGCGTGGCAGGGTTACGGTTCCGGGTCCGGCCGCGCCGCAGCCAGCTCTCGGCTCGCAGCCGCAGCGCCCCGCCCCCGCGCTCCGGACCTGGCAGGCGGCGGCTGCAGGGCCGGTCCCTGGGCCACATGGCTGAGGGGGACGCAGGGAGCGACCAGAGGCAGGTGAGGCCCCGGCGGGGTGCTGACTCTCCAGGCTCGGCTCGGGCTCGCCTCGCCATCCCAGCCCTCCTCAGCCGAGGGGCACTCCGCCCGGGGCAGTTCCGGGTTCCGCCAGCACCGGCCACGCCATTTGCTCCACCGCGTTCCATTTTTCCGGCGCTTCCCCTCGGCGAGCGCTCTTAGGCCGGCAGCTCGTCGGCGGTCGCGGGCTCGGCCTGTCTTGGACGGTGTCCTAGTCAACCATTAACACGCGACTAAGCAGCTCTGGGCCGAAGGCAAAAACCAGGGTTTCGCTCCCCACCCTGCCGCCGCCGGGTCATCTTGGACAAATCACTTAAGAATTCGGGTTTCCCCCTTTGCAAAATGGGCAATAGCCCAGACCCTGCACGTCCCCGAGAGCCCACCGAATCTCACTCCTTCTGGTCCTTGGCATCGAGCTTTCCCTGTGCCTTGTTCACGTGGGCGATCATATGTCTTTTCCTACAGGGCTGTGAGTACAAAATGAAATGCTACGAAGTCGAATGGACACTTTGCTTCCCATCTTTTCCCTTTAGGTCCTCCAGTTATTTTTCTGTTTTAACCCCAAGCCCAAAGAATAATTTATGAAATGTTTTAAGGGTTTCATTACCACCCACCCATCCAGTCCTTGTGTACCCCCTCCCCACCTCCCCGCCACACAAAATTTAATTCGAAAGAACCAGTGAGACACCCAGGAGGAGTACACAGATAATGTGGGGCAGAGCTATTGGGGGTGGGAGTCAGGGGTGGAGATTACCTGTTAAAAAAGAGAAGGTGGAACATAGAAGATAGGTTTATCTTTTCATGTGTGAATGGTCATTACAAAGTATGGGAGTGCATATATATTAAATTTTGGCTCAATAGTGGCCAAAAGCACAGTAATGCAGTAGCAAGCCTGGCTCCAGTCATTGGAGTAGCGCCTAGCAACCACCCAGAGAGTAGAACATGGTGACCTGCTCTTAAGAAACATTTGGCCTGGTAAGGCTCGTCTAGGAATCTTTTATCTATGCTGGTAATGTTGAATGCAAATACCTTATAAAGTAGTAAGAATAGGATGTTAAGATATGCACATTTGTTGACTTTTTAAAACATCAATTTCTTTCAGAATGAGGAAATTGAAGCAATGGCAGCCATTTATGGCGAGGAATGGTGTGTCATTGACGACTGTGCCAAAATATTTTGTATTAGAATTAGCGACGATATAGATGACCCCAAATGGACGCTTTGCTTGCAGGTACTTTTTCCCCCTTCCCTGCAGCCATCTTTCAGTTACAGTATTAACTATATGGTTGACTTCTGTATTCTAGTGATTATTTGTGTTGTTTTCTAAATTATCTTTGTTGCTGGCTTTTGTCAATGATTAAACACATGGGCAGTTACATCTCAGATCACTTTCAAATCATACATTGATTGATAGTTTCAGTCTTTCTAATCCAGTGCTTTTAATCATTTAAAAGTGTTAATGTACCCTTGAGAGACTGCAGTTTTTCTTCCCTTCATTATTCTCTTCATCTAACAGGAAAAGGTCCAAACCTGGAAAGACGGCTAACATTTAAAAGGAAGGAGAGGTTAATAATGTAGATGACTGGTAGAGGAGACACTCATTTCTTTATTAATTGAGAATCAATGATCAATTATCAGTTGTAATTAGGATAAAATAAATGAAAAGGTCAGCTATGGCTTTTCTTAGTGCTTAATCTTTGATGACTGCTTGTATGTACTTTCAACATAAAGGAGGCAAAACAGTTTTTGCCAGTGTTTGTTTTTATAATACTGATTTGAAAAGAAGTATGTGTATGGTTCTCTATTATACGTTAGCTGTTTCATATAGTTAATAGTGTTTCCTAGGATTTTTGTAGTATTTCTTTTGAAATACTGAAAAGTGCCCAGAAAATATTATAATGCCACTCCATCCACTTGGGGTCAGGGTATAATGTCCATATTTCAGTTTTCCTTTTCCTTTCACCTCTGTCCTCCTTGCCCTTTTTGTCCGGTTGCTAGCTTTGTAAATATGGTTACTTTTGAACCTTGATGAAGTGTAAACAGATGTTTTTGAACCTGCATTGTAGGTGATGCTGCCAAATGAATACCCAGGTACAGCTCCACCTATCTACCAGTTGAAGTAAGCTGTATTTCTACATTATATTGTTATAAAAAGATTATATTTTGAAAGATGTTTATACTGTACTTTGCATTTATGGGAAATATCTTTCTTATTAAAATGTATATAGAAATTAAAAATACCTTTTGGGTTTGGTATAGAGCATTTAAATAAAAATTAAATTCTATAAAACAGTGGAATATGCCACTTTGTATGAAAGAGAATCACAAGGTTCGTAGAGGTGAAGTAGCTGCAGAATTGTCTTTAGAGATGAGGAAGGAAACCTTCCTCTTGAGCCTAGTAATCTAGAAACCTTGGCCGTTAGAGTTTCTCCTAACCTAGTTCTCCTGACCTAACCACAGTTCCTTGATGTACATGTAAGACTGCGAGCCTTCCAGGAATTACCTATGATGCTTCTGGTGTTTCTCCCTGCCCCTTTCCCCATTGATGTTGACGAACCATCTTCTTAGAAGCCCAAGCTTAATCTTTTATGAGTCATGACCTGTTGATGCAAGTGATATTTCATCTACCTTGGTTGGCCCCGTCACCCAGTAATATGTATAAACCCTTGGGAACAGAATTGCATAAACTCAATTACTAGGCTGGTCTGATTGTAGACCAGTAATTTATTTATAACCAGTAATTGATCACAACTGGTTAGATTACTTTGTTTCTTCACTCCCACTCCTTCACTTAATTAGCCTTAAAAAAAAAAAAAAACTCAATTACTAGAATTTTTACCTATTAGTTTTTTTGTGCACATATTTTAAAACCGTAGCATTAATACTTACTGTTAATAATGGTTCTGTAGATTTTTATTTTTATTTATTGCAAATGATAGATATAGAATGCTTGTAAACATAAATATCCTTTTCAGAATTTTTTTTTTTTTTTTTTTTTTGAGATGGAGTCCTGCTCTGTCTCCCAGGCTGGAGTGCAGAGGCGTGCTTGGCTCATGCAAGCTCTACCTCCTGGGTTCATGCCATTCTCCTGCCTCAGCCTCCTGGGTAGCTGGGACTAGAGGCGCCCACTACCGCGCCTAGCTAATTTTTGTACTTTTGATAGAGACGGAGTTTCGCCATGTTAGCCAGGATGGTTTTGATCTCCTGACCTCATGATCCGCCCGCCTCGGCCTCCCAAAGTGCTGGGATTATAGGCATGAGCCACCGCGCCTGGCCAATTTTTAAACCATTAAAACAGTAATTTTGGTGTGGGTTTTGTCATGGTTTCTTGGGAAGGCTGAATGAATTAATGCTAATTAAAGCATTTGGTGACTATATAGATTTATACAAATATAAGACTGTTTTATGAAAGTAATTTTTTAAAGTCAAAAAAAATTTGTTTGTGATGTAATCAGTAATTTGAGATATAAACGTAATCCTTGAATAATCTTCTTAGTTGTTTTATTTAATCTTAGTGCTCCTTGGCTTAAAGGGCAAGAACGTGCGGATTTATCAAATAGCCTCGAGGAAATATATATGTAAGTGACAGGTAATTTTTTAAAAATAATTCTGTTGGTGATTGTATTGTGGGCTTTTATTGAATCTGTGAACCCTTTGTTAGAACCTTTCTAAACTTTTTAAAGCTACTTCTGCTTTAACAAAAAGAATTCACTTAAAGAGACCTTGAAAGGTTAGTTATATAATTTTATATATACATTTGATAGCTTCTACTTAGATACAAAAATACAGCAATATTTAGAGCTAATAACTAGAAAAAACACTTAGCCAAGCTGGGTACGATGGCATAGGCCTGTAATCCCAGCTATTCAGGAGGTTGAGATGGGAGGATTGCTTGAACCCAGGAGTTCAAGACTAGCCTGGGCAATACAGTGAGACCCCCATCTCAATCTCAATAAATTAAAAAAAAATATTTGCTAAAAGGATCTTAATTAAAAAACAAAAACACTTAGCCAACTGTGAAAGTAAATTCAGAGATACTGCTCTTGACTTGGTATTTTCATAGGCTATGTAGAATGAAATTGATAACAGAATCCTAAGTGTAATTATGTATTAAATGTCTGTGTACCTTGAGTGGTAATTTCCCTTGTATTAGGCCATAAGATTCAGAATCTGTTGATGGGCTATATTTTTCATTCATTCCTTCATTCAATAAATATTACATGGCAGGCACTGTACTAGATTCTGGGTGCAGGCATGGCTAGCATGAACAGAACTGCCCTTTATCATGGCAGTTAGAATTTCTGGTGGGGGAGAGGTATTACTTATAACATTGTAAAAATGAATATAGCAATAGCTCTGGTAAGTTCTGTGAAAGGAAGATATGCAAAACTAATTGAATTTGAAACAAGACCTGACATAGTCTAGGAGGTGAGGGTTGGCTTGTTTGACTTAAAAGCAGAGTTAATTAGGGGATGATAATTCCAGTGAGAGGCCACAGCACAAGGCTTGGTGTCAGGGAGCTTGGCACATTGTAGGAAACAGTGATGGTGATATGCAGTGGTAAGAGACCGGATGAGACGGAGGGAATATGGTAGGAAAAGGACCTGGAGAGGTAGACAAGACAGGTCCTCCAGAGGTTTGTAGGTTATGTTAAAGATTCTGTCTTTATACTAAGAATAGTTGGAAGTAGAGAAGGGTTTTAGGTAGTAGGGTGCCGTGATAAGATTTTCTCTGTTTTTTTGAGACAGGTTCTTGCTCTCTTGCCCAGGCTGGAGTGCAGAGGCACAGCAGTGACTCACTGCAGTCTTGACCTCCGAGGTTCAAGCGATTTCTCCCACCTCAGCCTCCCGAGTAGCTGGGACTATAGATATGTGCCACCGTGCCCAGCTAATTTTTTTTTTTTTAATTAAATAATTAAAAAAAAATTTTTTTTGAGATGGAGTCTTGCTCTGTCACCCAGACTGGAGTGCAGTGGTGTGATCTCTGCTCACTGCAACCTTTGTCTCTCAGGTTCAAGCAATTCTGCAGCCTCAGCCTCCCGAGTAACTGGGACTATAGGCGCCTGCCATGACGCACAGCCAATGTTTGTATTTTTAGTAGAGGCGGGGTTTCACCGTGTTGGCCAGGCTGGTCTCGAACTCCTGACCTCAAATGATCCACCCACCTTGGCCTCCCAAAGTGTTAGGATTACAGGCACGAGCCACCATGCTCTGCCTTCAGCTAATTTTTTTAAAAATTATTTTTTTGTAAAGATGGAGCCTTGGTTTGTTGTCCAGGTGGTCTCAAACTCCTGGCCTCAAGCAGTTCTGCCTTGGCCTCCCAAGGTGCAGAGACACAGGTTTAAGCCACTGTGTCTGGCCATGATAATATTTTCATTTAAAAAAGATCATTCTAGGGCCGGCGTGGTGGCTCACACCTGTAATCCCAGCACTTTGAGAGGCTGAGGCAGGTGGATCACGAGGTTAGCAGTTTGAGACCAGCCTGACCAACATGGTGAAACCCCGTCTCTACTAAAAATACAAAAACATTAGCTGGGCATAGTGGCGGGCGCCTGTAATTCCAGCTACTCGGGAGGCTGAGGCAGGAGAATCGCTTGAAACTGGAAGGCGGAGGTTGCAGTGAGCCGAGATGGCGCCACTGCACTCTAGCCTGGGCAACGAGAGCAAAAACTCCGTCTCAAAAATAAATAAATAAATAAATAAGATCATTCTATTTCTGTTTGAAGTAGTGTTTGGAAGGTAGCAAGAGTAGATGTGGTACATCAGTTAGGGGGCTAATGGAGTTGTCTAGAGAAGATATAACTATGATTTAGATTAATTTTAATGAAATAATTTAGTAAAATAAATAATGTTCTGGAATATCAGTTTTACTGTAATCCAGGATCTAGTAAGGATTGTATTATATGTTCTAGGTGGCCACTCCATTTGGTACAGTGACAGTCCCTCTTTGTGTCCCTGGGATCCAGGCCAGGTTTCTTTTCCTTCCAAAATATTTAATTAGAAAATGGTAAGTTGTTGTGGAATCCATTCTACTTATTCCTGCCTAGAGCAAGTATGGTCTTCCTTGGGTCCCCATTTAGTGATTCCATCGTCCTTGGCGGAAGTATAAGTATTTCCTTAATTAAATGTTTTCTGATGTCTCTCCCTAACATTATTGGCCACTCCAACTTTTGTGCCCCCAACAAACTTCTTTCTATAATTCTCTCTTATTTGCCAATTTTTCTGCCCACTACCCCCAGCCCCCGAATAGAATAAGATCAGTATACTGCGGATTTGTTCACCATTAACACCAGAATTGTTCGTGTAGTGGCCATTTTTCAGCTCTTACCTAACTTTTGGTGATATTGACCACTTCCTCCTTCTTGGAAATCTTTCCACACTTAGCTTCCATCATGTTAATCACATTCATCAGTTAGCGTTTTTTCTCACCCATGTACAATGTCATACACTCAGAAATGGCTCTTCACCTTCCAATCCCCTATCCCAAACGTCCTCCTTTTACTAAAAAATACCTTCCCACAGGACACAACTTTCCTTTTCTCTTTAACTAGTTCACTTGAGCTATTTGAGACTTAGGAAGTTTCAGAGATTATAATATAGTTTGTTCTAATGGTGGAATATAGTGTCTTGTTTATTAAATGTGCTTGAATAACCTTGGTCCAGTGGTTATTATTTTCACACATGTAATCTAAATAGAAATACACATCTTACTTGTAAAACTTTTTTTTTCTTTTTTAAAATAGGGCCTCACTGTATTGCCCAAGCTAGCCTTGAACTCCTGGGCTCAAGCCTCAAGTGATCCTCCTGCTTCAGCCTCCCAAGTAGCTGGGACTACAGGCACATACCATCACACCTGGCTTTATTTTTAAAACTTTTATGTGACAACTTTTTTTTTTTATTTCCTGAGACTGAGTCTCGCTCTGTTGCCCAGGCTGGAGTGCAGTGGTGCGATTTCAGCTTACTGCAACCTCCGCTTCCCAGGTTCAAGCAATTCTCATGCCTCAGCCTCCTCAGTAGCTGAGATTACAGGTGAGCGCCTGTACACCTGGCTAATTTTTGTATTTTTAATAGAGATGGGGTTTCAGCATTTTGGCCAGGCTGGTCTTGAACTTCTGACCTCAAGTGATCCACCGGCCTCAGCTTCCCAAAGTGCTGGGATTACAGGCATGAGCCACCGCGCCTGGCCTTTGTGACAACTTTTAATCATATTTTCCATGTAATTCCAGCAGAGGGCAGCAAGGGAAAAATACAGGTTTTTAAAAATTAAACATGAGCCAGGTGTGGTAGCTTTTGTTTGTAATCCCAGCATTTTCGGAAGCCAATGTGGGAGGATTGCTTGAAGCTAGAAGTTTGAGACCAGCCTGGGCAGCATAGTGAGACCTTCCCCATCTCTATAGAAATTTAAAAAATAAAAATTAACTGGATGTGATGGAGCGTACCTGTAATCCCAGCTACTTAGAAGGCTGAGGTAGAAGGATCACTGGAGTCCAGGAGGTCGAAGTGAAGTCACTGCACTCCAGTCTGGATGATAAGAGTGAGACTCTGTCTCAAAAATAAATAAATAAAAAGTAAGTCTATGAAGAAGAGACTCTTTAGAAGAGCAGTCAGTAACTCAGGAGGGGTATAGTGGAGGCCTTTATTAAGGCAACAAGAATACAAATGGAGAAGAAGGTCAGTTAAAGAAATACTTAAAAATATATTGGCCAGGCGCAGTGGCTCATGCCTATAATCCCAGCCCTTTGGGAGGCTGAGGCAGGCGAATCACCTGAGGTCACAGGTTGGAGAGAGACCAGCCTGACCAACATGGAGAAACCCCATCTCTACTAAAAATGCAAAATTATCCAGGCGTGGTGGCGCATGCCTATAATCCCAGCTACTTGGGAGGCTGAAGCAGGAGAATCACCTGAACCCGGGAGGCAGAGGTTGCAGTGAGCTGAGATCGCGTCATTGCACTCCAACCTGGGCAACAAGAGCAAAACTCCGTCTCAAAAAAATATATATATGTAAAAGCTAGGATTTGGTGATTGATTAGATGTAGGTTAGTTTGGTTATTGTACCTACTTTTTTTTTTTCCCTGAGATAGGGTCTCTGTCTGTTGCCTAGGCTGGAGTGCAGTGGCATGATCATGGTTCACTGCAACCTTGACCTCCTGGGTCCAAGTGGTCCTCCTGCCTTAGCCTCCTGAGTGTCTGGGTTTATAGGTGTGCCACCACTGGCTAATTTTTGTATTTTTTTGTAAAGAAGGAGTCTTGCTACCTTGCCCAGACTTGTCTGAAATTCCTGGCCTCATGTGATCTGTCTGCCTCTGCATGTCAAAATGTTGAAATTACAGGCATAAGCTACTCTGCCCAGCCCTTAATTTTTATTTAAATATTTTGCATATGAATATTTTGAATAAATGAAAATATTTTGATAAAACAAAAAGTAAATACATTTAAAATACTTAGAATATGATACTGTTTAAGATAAAATGAAAAGGATTACAAGTTTTTTTATAGTATTTGATTTTGTGAATTTCTGTTATAGCAATATTTAATTTAGAATCCAAGAAGATAATTTTTGAAATTTTCTACATCTCTTCACATTTTGATGCATCATGGAATCTTAGGTTTTAATGTTGGTGAGTGAGGCTTCTTGAATCAAAAATTACATTGAGTAAAGTTAAACAGACAAGGAAGACTGTATTCAAGCCCCCTGCAATAAGGGAAAGAGGCCAGAACTAAGTGTGAACTCAACTCCTCTGAAACAAAAGGCAGATGGGTTTTTAAGGGCCAGGATGAGCTAGTGCAAAAGTACTGAAAGATATTATGTGGGACCATTAATCGGGTGTGTTGGGCATATTAAGTTATTGTTGAGTTTGTGAATATTTCTCTTGGTAAGTAGGCCATGTGTGTTTACTAATAGATACCTGTTGAAGTTAGCCTCCTCTACTTCCACAGAGACTGGAAGAGAAGGGCAGTGTCTTCTTTGATGATGTGTTTCAAAGGGATGGTTCCCAGGTCTTTGAGAAAGACATTTCCTGGGTTGTAAAACCAATTAAAGTTTTCTATAAAACGATTTACATATATCTCAAAGAGACAGAGAAGAAATTTACAATGACAAGTTTTGTAAAGAAAATGCTCTAAGAAAAGGGAGGTAAGGGCCTAGAGTCAGGAATAGGCCCATATAAAGTTTAGTCTAGCTGAGGTTAAGGCTGTTTCAGTCAGGCTTTTTGAGTCAGTTTTTAAAATAGTGTCATCTCTTTGTGTCTGTTTTCTTATCTGTAGAAAGGGGATAATATTGTCAGCATTAAACTAGCAGCTATCTTTTTTTGTTATTTAAATTTTTTTTTTTTTTTTTTTAGTTTTTTGAGTTTTGCTGTGTTGCCCAGGCTGGAGCGCAGTGTCACAATCATAGCTCACTTCAGCCTCCAAACTTCTGGGTTTAAGTGATCCTTCCACCTCAGCCTCCTAAGTTGCTGGGATTACGGGCACACATCACTGTGCCTGGCTAAGTTTTTGAATTTCTTGCAGAAACGGAGCCTCGCTTTGTTGCCCAGGCTGGTCTCAAACTCTTGGTTTTAAGCTGTCTTCCTACAGTGCTGAGATTATAGGTGTGAGCCACCACATCTGGCCTGTTTTATTTTGTTTGTTTGTTTTCTGTTTTTTGGTTTTTTTTGTTTGTTTGTTTTGAGAAGGAGTCTTTTTTGTTGCCCAGGCTGGAGTGCAGTGGCACGATCTCCACTCACTGCAACCTCCACCTCCCAGGCTCAAGCAATCCTCCCACCTCAGCTTCCTGAGTAGCTGGGATTACAGGCACCACCACATCTGGCTAATTTTTGTATTTTTTTTGTAGAGAAGGGATTTTGCCATGTTGCCCAGGCTGGTCTCGAACTCCTGAGCTTAGGTGATCTGCCCACCCTGGCCCCCCAGAGTGCTTTGATTACATCACACCTGGCCCTGGACTGTTCTTATTTTAAAAATCATCTCTATCAGCTTATAATATTGAAAATTGGGTGACGGAAACTCAGATCAAATGATTAGTTTAACTTCACACAGCTTAGTGCATTTTAGTGAATAGCTTTACTGTTATATCAACCAATACAAGTATTTAGTTTTAGTACTAGGAATTGTAGTGATGTGGGGTGTAGTGGGGAGGATTTGAGGGTATAGAATTATTTGAAAACGTTATTTTTTTCTGTCTGCTTGTTTTGAAAGTTTTGGTGGGTGCTGATGAGTAGTAATAAAGAGATAATGGTTTCAAGGGAAACTGTTAGAGGAAAGAGGTGAGGTGTTGCTGTATAGTAGTGTGGTGATATCTTTAAACACATACCATATTTATCTACAATTAGTGTCTTTCTCTAAAGAGCAGACGCTTGGGCCTTTATTTTATTGCTGTTGCCATCATTTAACATAACTATGGACATGACTTCAAAACCCGTGACACATTCTTTTTCTCAGTGATCCTTTGAGATGGATTTAGTTACCCGAGACAACCAAATATCATTTGGAACCAAAATTTATCAATTTAGGTAATAGAATATTTATTTAGGCAATAGAATATTAGGCAATAGAATATTTTGTCAGAAACAAGATATGAATATAAAATTGTTGAATTGTCTTTTAGGTCTTGTAAATTGACTCCCTGAAGGAGTTCCCCATATGCTTTGCATTCTTTGTTGTTGAGATAAGTATACTAAATGATAAGTGTACCAAATAAGTGGTTTGAAGTTCTTTAAAAAGTTTAAAAAAGCAAGCAATGATCATACTGAAAGATTGTATCCACTTACAGAAACTAAGTCACATTTATATTTCTCTAATCCATCTAGTTTGGAAATGTTTATTCCCCTCTTTAGTTACCACTCTTCTGCTTATTTTAAAGTTAGCCGGGTTAATTTTGGAGTCGACTGGAATTTTTAAGGTTGCTATAACCTGTAGTAAATACTCAGATACAAATGTTGATAAACCCCAGGTTTTTATAAATTATTTTTAAAAAGAAATGGTTAGATTGTTTATAATGTCTTTGATTGTAAATGTCAGTATCTTCTTGAATTTGAGAAGATGATTTTTGAAATAACAAATTCTGTTTTCCCTGAATTTTGTTTAGACAGAATATCGGTGAAAGTATTCTTTACCTGTGGGTGGAGAAAATAAGAGATGTTCTAATACAAAAATCTCAGATGACAGAACCAGGTAGGATTGAAAAATACTATCAATAGTCTTTTAACTTATAATTACATTTTTATGTAGATACTCTAATTGAAATTTAATATGAAAATCTGTATTCTGGTTTAAGGTTTGTATATTGTAAAATCCAAGTTTCTCTGAAAAGTTTCATTACTTATGTAATTATAGTTATTTCTTTCTATAAGATTTAGCCTATTTGATTTCGTATTACAGTATTCCTTCTTATATGAGATTTCACTTTCATGGTTTCAGTTACCTGTGGTCAACTGTTGTCTGAAAATATTAAATGGAAATTTCCAGAAATAATTCATAAGTTTTAAATTGTGTGCCATTCTGAAAATATTATGAAATCTTGGGCTGTGCCATTCTATCACTTCATCTCATCACGTAGGCATTTATAATTTTACATCATCACAAGAAGGGTAAGTGCAGTGCAATATATATATATACACACACACATATATATATGGGTTTTTTTTTGAGACAGAGTCTTGCTCTGTTGCCCAGGCTGGAGTGCAGTGGCGCAATCTCGGCTCACTGCAACCTCTGCCTCCCGGATTCACATCATTCTCCTGCCTCAGCCTCCACAGTAGCTGGGACTACAGGTGCCCGCCACCACGCCCGGCTAATTTTTTTTTGTATTTTTAGTAGAGATGGGATTTCACCATGTTAGGCAGGGTGGTCTTGATCTCCTGACCTCATGATCCGCCTGCCTTGGCCTTCCAAAGGGCTGAGATTACAGGCATGAGCCACCGTGCCTGGCCTTACAGTATATTGTTTTAATTGGCCTATTTTGGTTTTAGTTATTGTTAATCTCTTACTGTGACTAATTTATAAAATAAACTTTATCATAGATATGTATATATAGGAAAAAACATTGTATATAGGGCTCAGTACTATCTGTGCTTCGAGGCATCCACTGCGGGGTCTTAGAACATATCCCCTGCAGATAAAGGAGACTCCTGTATACTCTTATAGAAGTAGAATTTTATGGTGAAAGAACTTGGATCGAAAATTTCTGTTCTCTTTGACTGTAGTTAAGGTAATGTGAACTTTGTAACTTTCCTCATGAATTATTAGACTACATAAATGAGATATTTCTTTCTTTCTTTTTTTTTTTGAGACAGAGTCTCAGTTCATCACCCAGGCTGGAGTGCAGTGGTACGATCTCGGCTCACTGCAATCTGTGCCTCCCAGGTTCAAGCAATTCTCCTCCCTCAGCCTCCCAAGTAGCTGGGATTACAGGCGTATACCAACACGCCTGGCTAATTTTTGTCTTTTTAGGAGAGACACATTTCACCATGTTAGCCAGGCTGGTCTTGAACTCCTGACCTCAAATGATCCACCTGCCTTGGCTTCCCAAAGTGCTGGGATTACAGGCATGAGCCACTGTATCCAGCTGAGATATTAATTTCAAATGAGTCTAGTGTTTATAGAAAAAGAATTTTGGGAAGCACAGTGGCCAATATTAGGATATAGAAATTAACTTTGCAGTTGAATTTTTTATTGAGATATAATTTATATGTCATAATTACCCTTTTAAAGTGTACAGTTCAGTGGTTTTTAGTATTCCCATTGTTAGGCAGCCATTACTACTAATTTTAAAACATCTGAAAACTTATATTTTGCTCTATTATTAATCTTCTATTGAATAATTTAAGTATATGAACAACATGGAGTTTTTCAGTGTTTCCTCTTACTTCACTTGCTAGTCTTTGTTTCACTTACCACAAAGGCCTTTGAGAGGGTAAAATAACTCTATTTAACATGTTATTTCCAAATAGGATGTTCTTGTTACACTGCTAGAATTGTTTTTAATATGAGATAAAGAGGGATTAAAAAAGAACTTGGGCCTGTAATCCCAGCACTTCGGGAGGTCGAGGTGGGAGGATTGCTTGAGCCTGAAAGATCAAGGCTGCAGTGAGCTATGATCATGCCACTGCACTCCAGCCTGGGTGCAGGGTGAGATCCTGTCTCCAAAAAAAGAAGAAGAAAAGAAAAGAAAAACAGAACCTGGTAGTTTACTTACTAATTTTTTAGAAGGCTATTTACGGGAAACTATTTAGGACTCCTTTGGCAAAATCAGTTTAAAGTTGATAGCAGTATATCTGTTTTTAGAGCCCTTTTACCATTTTTCTACGAGTGCAAGTATTTTTACTGCTTCTATTAAAATCAGAGAGATAAGGATGGACACTCGGTTCTCTATGGTATGATTATGACACGTTGCATGCCTGTATCAAAATATCTCATGTGTCCCATAAATATATACACCTGTTAAGTATCCACAAACATTAACAAAATAGAGAGATAAATGACATGAAGATATTGTCTATATAACAATCTTTCTCCAAGTATTTTCTTCAGCTTTTTATGATCCATGTTCTGATTTTGTAGCATTTCAGGGCATCTGTGAGAAAAGTATTCTTAGAATTCCAAAAACAAGTTATTTGTCAATCTGCCTTTCTAGAGATGGATTACAGAAATGGAATGTATTATAGTTAAAAATTAGGACTCTGAAAACTTTTGTATCACTTAACTCCTAGGAAATTTTAATAATTGATCTTAAAAATAACATTTTTTTCTGAGTGCAGTGGCTCATGTCTGTAATCCCACCACTTTGGGAGGCTGAAGCAGGCAGATCACTTGAGGTCAGGAGTTTGAGACCAATCTGGCCAACATAGTAAGACCCCATCTCTACCAAAAATATAGAAGCTAGCTGGGCTTGGTGACAGGTGCCTGTAATCCCAGCTACTCAGGAGACTGAGGCAGGAGAATTGCTTGAACCTGGGAGGTGGAGGTTACAGTGAGCTGAGATGGCCCCACTGCACTCCAGCCTGGGTGACAGAGTGAGACTCAGTCTCAAAAAAAAAAAAAAAAAAGAAAAATTAAAAAATATATAAAATAATATTTTTCCTTACCTGTATCCATAATATAGTTTAACCACTCCTTAACTTTTGGAGTTACTGATTTGTGTTGTATAATTCATGATTTTGAAGTTTTAGAAATTTTTTTGTTTGGATTATTTTTCTTTAAAATTGTTTTTGTAGACTTCATAATCAAGTGGAAGGCTTAACAATTCTGAAGAACTAATAAGAAAAAGAGCTAGTGATCAGGATAGCTCATGAGAAGTCTCTTCTAGTCATTTACTTGTTAAGTAATTCATTTTGATTTCACTGCTAATCTTCAGTACAGATTTATTCTTTATTATTTATATATTTTTTTCAGCATAGAAATTCTGATTTTGAACTGATTATACACAGCTGTTTACAATTTCTAAAACTTTTGAACTAATTTTAAACTTACAGAAAAGTTACAAAAATGGTATGAAGGTCTCTTTTATATCCTTTACCCTGATTTCCTGTTAAATCCTATATAGTTATCATCATACAGTTATCAAGAGCAGAAAACTGACACTGGTGTGGTATTATTAACTAAACTAAGGAGCTTATTCAGATTTTAGAAACTTACCAATATCCTTTCTGCTGCTGTAGGATCTTGTCTAGGATTTTACATTGTATTCCATTGTGTCTCTTTACTCTCCTTTAGTCTGTAAACAGTTACTCAGTGTTTCCTTGACTTTTATAACCTTGACACTTAACGAAGACTACTGATAGTTATTTTGTAGAATGCCCCTCAATGTGGGTTTGCCCAGTGTTTTCTCACGATTGGAGTGAGATTAGCCATTTTTGGCAAGAATACTAAAAAAATGCTGTTGTGTCTTTCATAGTGCAATGTATCAAGGAGTTTATATCATATGCTTTTTTTTTTTTTTTTTGAAACAGTTTCACTCTGTCACCCAGGCTGGAGTACAGTGGCACAGTCTTGGCTCACTGCAGCCTCCGCCACCCAGGTTTAAGTGATTCTCCTGCCTCAGCCTCCCGAGGAGCTGGGATCACTTGCACCTGTCACCATGCCTAGCTAATTTTTTGTGTGTTTTTAGTAGAGATGGAGTTCCACCATGTTGGCCAGGCTGATCTTGAACTCCTGACCTCAAGTAATCCGCCCTCCTTGGCCTCTCAAAGTGCTGAGATTATAGGCGTGAGCCACCACACCTGGCCTATATGCCTTATTTTTAATTTTAATTTTAATTTTTGAGACTGAATATTGCTCTGTCACCCAGGCTGGATTGCGGTGGCATGAACACATGGCTCACTGTAGCCTCCACCTCCCGGGCTCAAGCTATCCTCCCAGGCTTGGAGGATATAGCTGGGATATAGGGTGTAGCTCCAGCATAGGAAGACCCTGTCTCTACAAAGAATTTAAAAAGAGTTGGAAGTACAAAAAATTTTAAAAGTAACAGGGAGTGGTGGTGTACTCCCAGCTACTTTTAAAATTTTTTGTACAGAGGAGGTTGCCTAGGCTGGTCTCAAACTCCTATGCTCAAGTGATGCTCCCGCGTCAGTCTCCCAAAGTGCTGGGATTACAGGTGTGAGCCACTGTGCCTGCTGTATCATATGCCTTATTATTGGTGATATTTACCTTGATGTCTCAGTTAAGGTGGTGTTTGCCAGAAATATATTTTAAGAAATTGGCTTATACAGTTGTGGAAGGTGGAAAGTCCAAAATTTGCAGGATAGGCCGGCAGGCTGGGGATCCAGGGAAGAGTGAATGTTGCGGTTTGAAAACAAAGATGGTCTGCTGGAAAAATTTTCTCTTCTGGGGAAAGAGGAAAAATTTCCTCTTTCTGGTTAGAAAAATTTCTACCAAGAAAAGACCTCTGGGGAGGTCAGTCTTTTCATGTGAAGGCCATCAGCTGATTGGATGAGGCCCATATGGAAGAAAGTACGCTTTACTCAAAGTAACTGACTTAATTGTTAATCTCATCCAAAAAATACCTTCAGAGAAAAATCTAGAATAGTGTTTAACCAAATATATGGGTACTGAAGCTGGGCACAGTGGCTTGCACCTGTAATCCCAGCACTTTAGGAGGCCGAGGTGGGTGGATCACTTAAGGTCAGGAATTCAGGACCAGCCTGGCCAACATAGTGAAACCCCATCTCTACTAAAAATACAAAAATTAGCCGGGCGTGGTGGGGCATGCCTGTAATTGCGGCTACTTGGGAGGTTGAGGCAGGAGAATCACTTGAACCCGGGGAGGTGGAGGTCGCAGTGAGCTGAGATGGCACAACCGCACTCCAGCCTGGGTGACAGAGTGAGACTGTGTCAAACAGAAGTAAACAAATATATGGGTACTGTGGCCTAGCCAAGTTGACATGTAAGATTAACCACTACAGTTACTATCTTTCTCTTTGTAGCTTCCGGGAGATGCTTTGAAGCTGTGCTAATATCCTGTTTCTCCTTAAACTTTCAGCCACTAATTTTAGCATCTATCCATGGAACTTGTCAACAATATTTATTACTGTAGTGTTTGCCTAATGATTATTTTCTATTTTCTTCATTTCTTCTTCATTTAGTAACTGGAATTCTATTATGAGGAAGGGATGTCTGTCCTCCCCATTTATGTATTTATTTGTTTATCTGTTTATTATTTATATCAGTATGGACTCATGTATATTATTTCAGTCCATGGGTTAAAATGCCCTAAGATCATTTTTTTTGTTGTTGCTCAAATTGTTCTAGCTTTGACCTTAAAGGGCCCCTTCAGGTTAGCTCCTGTGTTCTTTTTATAAGCTCCATCTCCTTTTGAGCATTTCCCAGTTTGTGGATCCACACGACGTTCCAGGTTCATCTTATAGTTTCCTTGCTCCAACTCGGGAATCAACAGTTCTCCTATGGGCTGAGTGCTGGTTCCTACCATTGAAGAATAGTGTTTAGAACCCAAGACCTGGGCGGGGCATGGTGGCTCACGCCTGTAATCCCAGCTTTTTGGGAGGCCGAGGCAGGTGGATCATGAGGTCAGGAGATCGAGGCTAACATGGTGAAACCCCGTCTCTACTAAAAATACAAAAAATTAGCTGGGTGTGGTGGCGGGCACCTGTAGTCCCAGCTACTCAGAAGACTGAGGCAGGAGAATGGCGTGAACCCGGGAGGTGGAGCTTGCAGTGAGCCGAGATCACCCCACTGCACTCTAGCCTGGGTGACAGAGCGAGACTCCATCTCAAAACAAAACAAAACAAAACAAAACAAAAACCCAAGACCCAGTGATTTTTTAAAAAAGCATTGTTTCTTATCTGCATCGTAGAGTAATTGTGTCTCATATTCTCATAGGCCCAGATGTAAAGAAAAAAACTGAAGAGGAAGATGTTGAATGTGAAGATGATCTCATTTTAGCATGTCAGCCAGAAAGTTCGGTTAAAGCACTGGATTTTGATATCAGTGAAACTCGGACAGGTATAATGTTTACTAATTTATTTTGTGGAGAGTGGGTTGGTAGTATTATGTATTGTTCTTTGAGATGATAGATAAATTTACTAATTTTCTCAAATTTTAGGAAGGAGTTACTAATTTGCAGATAAGATTAATTTTTTTTCTGCCTGTTGGCAATTTTGGTGTTTGCCAAGTCTTACCAGAATGGTAAGGAAAAAATGGAAATTTACTGTTTTCCCCCTGCTTTCTAGAGTTTTGATTTACTGATGGAAGAAATTGAAACTAAGAAAAGCTATTAATGTTTTTGTTCACATCATGTTTTTATATTTCTGTATTGAAATCCTTAGCTGTTTCCTGATGTCTCAGGATTAAATTTTAGTCTATGCTCACAAGTACAAATATATTAACTGAAAGTGCAGCCCCTGAAATTAAAGCTAGTGAAATGCCTTTAAGAGTTTTTTTTTCTGAGAGACGAGGTCTTGCTGTGTTGCCCAAGTTGACCTTGAACTCCTGGGCTCCAGTGATCCTTCCACCTCAGCCTCCAAGTAGCTGAGACTCTAAGCATGCACCATTGTGCCCAGCTTGAGTTCAGTTTTTTTTTTTTTCTTTGAGATGGAGTCTTGCTCTGTTGCCCAAGCTGGAGTGCAGTGGCATGATCTCAGCTCACTGCAGCCTTGCCTTCCAGGTTCAAGTGATTCTCCTGCCTCAGCCTCCTAAGTAGCTGGGATTACTGGCATATGCCCCCATGCCTGGCTAATTTTTGTATTTTTAGTAGAGATTGGGTTTCGCCATGTTGGCCAGGCTGGTCTAGAACTCCTGACCTCGAATGACCTGCCCACCTCATGCTCCCAAAGTGCTGGGATTATAGGCATGAGCCACCACGCCTGGCCTTGGTTTCATTTAAATAAATTTGTTTCATAATCGAGCAGTAGTCAACATAAAAATAAGTTGCTGTGATACTATGTTTCATTTTACTGTTTTAAAATTTTGAATGTTATGGTTAGTTTCCCTAAGCCTCTTAGGAAAACATAAGAGACTGGGGGAATATTCATTCTGTTTGAAGGTGAGGGGTTTCCTTTGTCATTACACGGTAGCTTTTAAAAGGTGTTCTGAGTTTTAAGGCTTTTGAATGGTGTCCAGGACTAGTAGAAAGGAACAAAGAGGAAATGAAAGAGTGGGGAGCATTCAGGGCTCTCATTTATGCTTCAACCTAAGTAGCTCCCATTTTAATCATTTATTTCTGTGTGGATTTGACATATGATATCTTTTGAAAACAGGATCTACCATGAAAAGAAAAAGGGTAAAAATCATACTCATGAATAAATACTAACATAAACCTACTTTCTTGTCTTGAATAACTTTTCATCTTAAGTGAGGCAGGTAGTAGTAGCCAGGATGATTAAGTCTCTCAACAGAATTGAGGGTTAATTTTTTTTTGGAGACCGAGTCTTGCTCTGCTGCCTAGGCTGGAGTGTAGTGGCACGAACTTGGCTCACTGCAACCTCTGCCTCCCAGGTTCAAGCAATTTTCCTACCTCAGCCTCCGGAGTAACTGGGATTACAGGCTCACAGCACCATGCCTGGCTAATTTTTGTATTTTAGTAGAGACGGGAGTTTCACCATGTTGGCCAGGCTGGTCTCGAACTCCTGAACTCAGATGATCCACCCCTCGGCCTCCCAAAGTGTTGGGATTACAGACATGAGCCACCACGCCCAGCCATGATTCTTAAACTTGTTAAGAGGTGTGATAACTGGAAATCATGATACTCTTTATGGAATACCAGTTAGATGTATTATTGATGTATTTAATTCCATCATATGAAGTGGAAACAGTTATATTAGCAGAAGGCATTATACTGTAGCTACACAATATAAAGAATATAAATTCATATTTTCCCAATTCAGAGGTCTAACTACAGTGAAACTGATAAATAAGTTTTATATTAGCAGCTGTAAATCTTTGTTTTCAGGACCCCTTTCCACTCTTAAAAATTTTGTATTATATTAGATACTATGCCAACTTATACTACTGATTGCAGTAGTACAGGATTTTAGTCCCAACCCACTGCTTTCCCTGGGTAACCTTGGCAGGTGGAAATCATTTATAAATCAAATATTTTAATCTTATATACAATATACTTAGAAACTTTTTACTTTATAATTTACATTTAATGTTGGTAGATAATGATTAATAGTTATTTTAGTGAATTTGCCATGTAATTTACATTTCTTTCCCAGCTCCCCCCACCCCCATTTCGTTTTTTTCAGTATTTGAATGTAAGGCTTTTTAAAAAATAAAGTTTCTTCTACATTTCTAGAAGTAGAAGTAGAAGAATTACCTCCGATTGATCATGGCATTCCTATTACAGACCGAAGAAGTACTTTTCAGGCACACTTGGCACCAGTAGTTTGTCCCAAACAGGTAAAGTTCCTTTGTCTAGCTCATTTTGATAATTTACTAAAGTATCAGGTAAATGATTTTGTAATAATGCCCTTATTTTCACTTTTATGTTTTATTTTCATATAAGATAAAAATTATTTATTCATTTTTCTACTCCCAAATTGCTGTGAATCACGGAAGGTTTGTTTTGTTTCTGTTTGTCTCTGCTTTCTTTCTTTTTTTTTTTTGAGATGGTGTCTCTCCTTGTTGCCCAGGCTGGTCTCAATCTGGACTCAATCAGCCCTCCTGCCTCAGCCTCCCAATCCAAAGTATTGGGATCACAGGCATAAGCCACCTAGCCAGGCCTGTCACTGCTTTCAAAATTGTATCTAAACTCTGATTAGGGGTTAACCCTCTAATGAATCTTTAAATAAGAAACACTCATTGTGTTATAGAAAATTGTGATGCTTAATATCTTGTCGAAAAGAATTATTTGTCCTGTCGAATGGGAGTTCTGTGAAACGAAATCCATTCCTCTGTTGTTATTCAACAAAGGGGACAGTGGACAGACTGGCTAAACCCAGTCCTCCCTACCTGACTTACTTTCCTTTGTGCTTCTTGATCTTAAGTGACCTTATTTCCACCCGTGGATATAAATGGGAGAGGTTTCAGCCATAAACTATTCCTAGGTCTTTGTCTTTCTTATTCTCCTTTCGGCAGAATCCTTTTCTTCTTTCTTGCTTCTATAATGTACCTCAGCTTACCTTATTGATGTATGAGGCAATTTCAATACTACTTGTAAAGTTACATTTTTAAAAAAGTCTTATTTACCACAAGTTTTAGGCATGAGTCTCTTCCTTTGGTCTTTGCAGCTACTCTACTCTTGAAGCTCTTTAAAGCCCTGGCCTTCAGGGATACAGCTCTTTGTACCAGGCTCTTTCACTCTCTGAAAGAGGAAGTTCTTTTCTGCATTGATCTGTGGTCAAGATCACAACTTTTGGTGCGGACTTCTGGTCTTTTCTCTCAGGAATCCTATTTTGTCCCTGGCCCTTGGTCAAATCTTCTTCCCAGGGTCCTCCTGAGACATTCTAATTCTGAATTTGTTCATTCTGGATCCTCTTTCTGTTTCTGATCATAGTCACTTAGATTTACAGCATTATAATTTGTGAGAGCTGAAACCAGTTTTAGAGGTCATTGTCTATTTTATTGATCAGAATTTGAGAACCTGAAAGATTATAAAATGATAAACAGAAGATTGCACAATTTGTGATCCAAATTGGTGTCCCCAACTCTACCTCAGTCTTCCCTGCCACCAATGTTTCTTCCATACTTCTTGACGTTACAACATTCCTGAAAAATCTGACCATGTATCACTGTTCTTTCTCTTATCCGCGTTTCGCACATGTAATATGTGCTGATTTCCAATGTCTACGAGGGAACATCTAAACTTATTACACAGATCCTTTGTAATATGGCCCTAGCTTATCATTCATGACACATCTCTGTCATCTCATTCATACTCTAAGTTAAGCTGTGTAAAGCTTCCTGAACTTTTCTCTTTTTTGTTCCTGCTAGGGTTGCCAGATAAAATACAGAATACCTAGTTAAATTTGAATTTCAGGTAAACATTATTGCATGGGACGTACTTATAGTAAAAAAATTACAAGTCATTTATCTGAAATTCAGATTTAACTGGATGTCCTGTATTTTTATTTGCTAAATTTGGTCACCCAGTCCCTATATTTGCATATAACCCTATTCTCTCTGTGGAATGTCTTCTTCCTGTCCCATCTTTCCTTTTGATACAGAAGAACTGCCACAAGACCTGGCTTATGTGACCTCCTCTATGAACCTTACTTGACTCCCAGAGAAAGCTGTGGTTTTATAACATTTGGAACATACCATTATTGTACACCTGCTACATTGGATGTATACATTTGGTAGATTTCAGAGCTAGTTTTTACAAGTTTTACATAATACATTTAAAATTCCCTACACGGGGAACAAATTATCCCTTTGACATAGTAGTACCGAAATATTTGTTGATAATTAGTGCTCAAAAATACCAGGTCTGTCATTTTTATATCAATTATGAGTACCAGTTTCTGCCCCTAAAATGAGAAGGAAACTTTGGAAATGACTTTTTCAGAGTATAGTAGACTCTTTGAGTGGCTATTTAAATACAGCGTACTTTAAGGTATTTTTCTAGCATTTATTTACAGAGCAAATATGAAAAGCGTACTTATTTATATTATTGCTGTTTTTAAGGTGAAAATGGTTCTTTCCAAATTGTATGAGAATAAGAAAATAGCTAGTGCCACCCACAACATCTATGCCTACAGGTGAGTAATCGTCACAAGTTTTAGTATACGCAATTTGTAAAAAATAGAGGGAAATGATGCATGATTTTAGAAAATAATAACTATTACGTATTTTTTCCATCGTAATAGTAATAGACATGTAGAATACTTGGAAACTGCAGAAAAGAAAAGAACTGAAGGGAAAAATCTGGCATTTTATGCCATCAAATGTAACTGACAATATTTTGGTTTTTGTTTTGTTTTTTCTATGCAAAGTTTATTTTTTCCCAATGCTTTACCCTTGTATCCTGTTTTTTTCTTAATTAAACAAAAGCACTTTTTCATGGTGTTATAACTGCTTGATAAATACTGTTTAGTGGCTGGATAATATTTGAGGTGCCATACTACAAGTTTATTTAACCATCCATTTCCTCTTAGTTTTTCATATTTTTCACCATTATAAAGAGTGATCCAGGGAACATCTCTGTATACTTTTTAGGTTATTTTCTCAGGATGGGTTCTGGTTGCTTGAGATCCTTTTTTGAAATGAAATGGGAATATAATAAAAGGAAGAAAGAATTCTTAGAAGTAGAATTTTCAAAAAGTGTGAGCAATTTTGAAACTCTTGATATGTAGCCAAATTTCTTACAAAGGTTTCGTTTTGTTTTGGTTTGGTTTTTGAGACAGGGTCTCCCTCTGTTGCCCAGGCTGGAGTACAGAGGTGCGATCTTGGCTCAAGCAATCCTCCCACCTCAGCCTCCAAAGCTAACTAGGACTATAGGCGCGAGCCACCATGCCCGGCATAATTTTTATATTTTTTGTAGAGACAGGGTTCTGCCATGTTGCCCAGGCTGGCCTCAAACTCCTGAGTTCAAGTGTTCTGCCCACCTCGGCCTCCCAAAGTGTTAGGATTTACAGGCGTGAGCCCAAAGGTTTTTAAAACCAATTTATGCTCCCGTAAGCAGTGAAGTAAGAGTATTTCTTTTACGACATGAGTTTCGGCTTTGAGAATTCAGGTTTTTATGTGCATCTTTGCTGACTTGTAAGTGAAGAGATGAAGGGCATTTGAAAAAATGCGCAAATTTGTAAGACTTTAAAAGAACATAGTTTAGGCCTGAAATAAATCAGGACATAGGGACTTGTTATAAATTTAAAATGTGATTGAGACTATTTGTAGAATCTAGGCTATCTGAAATTGAAACTCAAAAACTCATCATTTTGAATAGGTGAGTTCTTAATATTACTAATTTCACATCTCTTTACAAACAATTATTTGTTATGTAATTCCCCTCTTAATAGAGTATCACTGGACAGAATTTTAATGTTTTCTTAATCAGTTATGACCTTCAATAGGAAAATGAGGAATTAGACTACTCTCAGTCATTCGAATGGGCTGTAAAAATTGTAATGTTCATTTATTCTACATGTTTTTTGAGTGCCTACTCTGTGCCAAAACTTTATGTAAATTAACTCTGATTAGTTAGCAATTCTACCACTGTAAAAAGGTTAGCTTTTCAAGATCCCATAGTTAAGTGATAAAGCTAAATTTGATAATCCAATTTCATTTGTTTTCTTTATTTGACTCCTCCGTGGCTGTGGCTACAGCTTCAACAATCTTGTATCTAAGCTATGTGAAAAAAGAAAAAAGGCACTCATAGTATTTTAACTTTAATGTTCATAGTAGGTGGTCAGTAAATATTGAGTGGATGGATGGATGGAGGGAAGGAAGGATGAGTGAATGAATGAATGTGATGGCTGTAAGGTAACATAATTGACTTAGGTGTGTAGATGGCTTTTATAGCTTTTGGTATTTACATTAAAAGTTTACAGCTTTTTATGGCCAGAGCTGGGAAGATGTCTTTAAAACATTTGCCCAGTTCCACATGATACCGTTGTAGGGCCCTAAGAAATCCACCAGATGGCATACTGTAACTGACACTGTTTTTTTTTTTTTCAATCTCTAGCACTTATTTGCCAAGCTCATTTTACTGTATTGTAGGCCTACATTATTATTTCAAATATAACTTTCTAGATAGTTTAAATGAATAAAAATACCATGATTTGTCTCTAATATTAGTAACCATCCAGAGGAAAATTTAAATCTTTGCATTCTTAGAAGAAAATAGAGAAATGCTTGATGGCTGCAATAAGATGAAAGTATAAAATATTACCTTATGTTGGTTTTGTTGCCTTCATCTTTTTTTATATGCTTTTTGTTTCACTACATCTTAAGGCTCTTTGAAGAAAGATGCATGCCACTTACTTCTTTTATAATATGTCATAGTACCTGTTGCTTCTATACAGTATATTCTCAATAAATGTTTTTCAGTGATTGCTCTTGGCAGCTTCAAGGATAAATGAAGTAAGGGGAATGTCACATGTATAAATTCACATAATAGCAACATTTCTGATATAAAGGAGATGCCTTTGATTCCTAGCTTTCCCAAGTATATAAAAAGGCAAACAATACTGGATAGTAAGCCATCAGTGAAAATATATCTAATATAATACATATTTCAAGAAGGATTTAAAAAAATGAATATGCCAATTTTGGCAGTAATCTAAATGATCACAAATATTGAGGAATAATTTTTATTACAATATTTTAGGTTCAAAGTGTAATGCTGTTACATGTATTTGCAGAATATATTGTGAGGATAAACAGACCTTCTTACAGGATTGTGAGGATGATGGGGAAACAGCAGCTGGTGGGCGTCTTCTTCATCTCATGGAGGTAGGTGTAAGTTAAACTATCAGTCCCTGTTCTGTACAAGCCATAAAATTTCTCAATAAAACAGAGCTCCATTTAGTAATAGCTAAGTCAGTTGAACTATGTAATATAAGATATATTTGATTTAATTAGTAGTTGATGTTAAAATATTATTGAATGAAAATTTGAACCAGTGGATGTGGGACAGAAAGCAAATAATTAATAAGAAGTGCTATGCTTTCAAGACATAGACAGTAGAAGAGTGTCTTCAACTTTGGGAAAACTCTTTGTTTTTTTTGACAATTTCCTTCTCTTTGTTTTTTTTTCTATTCTTTCTTTATGGAACTCCTGTTAGTTGCATACTGGAACTTCTGGATAGATCCAGAATTTTTTTTTTTTTAATTAAGTTGTCCATCTCATTGTCTTTATATTCTGAGACATTTTCTTGACTGTTGTCCAAAATTTCTGTTGAATTTAAAATTTTTTTTAGCAATCATATATTTAATTTTTAAGAGTTCTTTCTTGCTTTCTGTTTTTCCTTTTTAAGAATATCCTGTTCTGTTTTATGGCTCCAATATCTTCTAAAATTTCTCTGATTATATTAATTAGAGTTTCTTTTTTAAGATGTTCTCACCCCTAAAAAAATTTTTCCTGGTCCATTTTAGTTTGTTTATCTTGTCCTTTCTCTTTCATGCTGCTGGATTTTCTTCATCTGTCTGGTGATCATTTATTGTTTATTAATTTTAAGATTGGATTGTTTTTTTCCTAAGGTAGTTACTTGATTTTTTCTGCTCTTGTATGTGAAGGTGAATTTTCTAACAAGGCCTTTCCCTTGAATAGGAACTGTGTTTGTGAGGCAGGCTGTAAACTGGCCGGCTTCACATTAAGGGCAGCATTTGACAGATGTCAAACTGATGAAGACAGCCAGGCATGGTGGCTTACGCCTGTAATCCTAGCACTTTGGGAAGCCGAGGCGGGGAGATCACTTGAGCCCAGGAGTTCAAAACCAGCCTGGGCAACATGGTGAAACCCTGTCTCTACCAAAAAAACACAAAAATTAGCCGGGCATGGTGGTGCATGCACCTGTAGGTCCCAGCTACTTGGGAGGCTGAGGTGGGAGGATCACTTGAGCCCAGGAGGCAGAGGTTGCAGTGAGCCAAGATTGCCCCACTGCACTCTAGCCTGGGTGACAGAGCGAGACTGATCTAGATCTCAACTGATGAAAACCTTACTAGTAGCACCAGGGATTGATGCCTCATGCAGCCCCTGTAGCTTTGTTCAGAAGCAGGGTGTTTGTTGTTGTTGTTATTTGGCCTAGTGGTAAAATGCTGCCTAAATTTAGCTGTTCTGGTTGAAGTCACCAGGAACTAGAATCCTACCTGCATGGTCTCCCCTTCACTCTGTCCAGTTGCCCCAAATTTGGGAATTCGAGGACATTTGTGAAACACACAAGTGATGGTTTTCCAGATTCCCTTCTGTTCTTTCATTTCACTGCCTGAATTGTTAGTAATCTCACTCAGTGCCTACTCATATGACTCTACCATTAAAGTCACTGGGAAATTTTATGTGCAATTTTATATATGGGTTATTTTTTTCTCCTTTTGTAAAACTCATATTTGTACATGTCTGTCTGTGTATCTAATTATGCTTCCAAAAAATAACAGATTTTGAATGTGAAGAATGTCATGGTGGTAGTATCACGCTGGTATGGAGGGATTCTACTAGGACCAGATCGCTTTAAACATATCAACAACTGTGCCAGAAACATACTAGTGGAAAAGAACTACACAAATTCACCTGTAAGTGGCTCCTCATACTATATCTAGAGAATTTCTTATCACTGCCTGGGAATTTTTTAAAAAGACAGAAAAGAATGAATCAGAATGTGGGTGGTGAATTGATAAAACCTTTGGACTAAGAACCTGGAGACTTAGACTCTAAACAGTGTGTCTGGCCAGTCATGTGACTTTGGACAGATCACTTCATCCCTTCGCACCTTGATTTCATAGGTTCATAAAATTTTATAATTAGAAAAACCTTTTAAGACCAACTCGGTTCCACCCCTAAAATTGAGCCCCAGAGTGGTTGTAGCTGATATCATATCAGACTAGATGTTCTTTAAACATCTATAAAATTCTGAAATTCTCTGTTAGTGTCAAAACATCTCCCCCTCCACCGGCATACCTTTAGATGCTTTCTTTTTCCTTTTTTTTTTTTTTTTGAGACGGAGTCTCGCTGTGTCGCCCAGGCTGGAGTATAGTGGCACGATCTCAGCTCACTGCAAGCTCCGCCTCCTGGGTTGATGCCATTCTCCTGCCTCAGCCTCCTGAGTAGCTGGGACTACAGGCTCCCGCCACCACGCCTGGATAATTTTTTTGTGTTTTTAGTAGAGATGGGGTTTCACCATGTTAGCCAGGATGGTCTCAATCTCCTGACCTCGTGAACCGCCCATCTCAGCCTTCCAAAGTGCTGGGATTATAGGCATGAGCCACCGTGCCTGGCCCTCTTCCCTTTATACTTTGAGTTTATTTTGTTTCATATTTTAGGTATGTTCATATCTGCCTTATTTAAATTTTACTGCCTTACGTGGGAAAGTGGGACAATAGATGAAATAATATTGAAATTATTCAAACATAAATCTACTAGATAAATAGGTTTCCTTGATTATTCTTGATTGTTTAAAATTAGCCTATAAGTGAAAGTACCCTGTAAAACACATATGAAAGTGATTATACCCTCACTATAACATATATACATACATACATATGTGTATGAATATATGTAGAATATATATGTATAAATATTTTCTAAGTGATTAGATTTAAGTTTTAGTCTTTATGTAAATGGAGAGATGCACTGATTTGTGTCTTTTTCAGGAGGAGTCATCTAAGTCTTTGGGAAAGAACAAAAAAGTAAGAAAAGACAAGAAGAAGAATGAACATTAATACCTGAAACTATAGGAAAGGTTAATTTGCCTATAATTATATATACATTCCGTAGTCATCAAGGAATATATTGTGCAGAGAGTGTATCCTTGACTGCTCAAGTCAGCCAATTCAGCATGGATACCAACATTAGCTTTTCTTCTTTGGTTATATCATCTGCCAAAAATAGAGAACTTATGATCTATTCATGTGTGTTTCAGGCTTATTTGGGAGAACTAATTTGAACTTAATCACCACTTCATCTAATTTTAGGAAGGTAACAGTTGCCCAGGGCAGTACCTGAATTAACTGTCCATTTCAGTGCATGTCAAGTGCCTTTGTTAGGTGGAGAAGAAGTGTCTCTAGAGGAATATAAATACCTGATTTCTTGTCATCGAGATTCTTGTAGTGTTAAATGAATATTGCCTTTTACTGCTCTTTATGGCGTACTGGAATAGGAGCTCATTTATGATTGATCTTGGAGAGTTTCTTCTTGTTCATAAGTATGTCACCTTTCATTTTATAGTGTTCATCATTGAGTAATGGATTAAGTGAAAATCCAGGAGTATCCATCTGCAGTTATGTGCTGAGGTGATAATTCATCCAACATATTTGTTAGCATAAATATTGTGCCTCAATTTCTGTTGCAAATTAGTGATTGTGAAATTTCAGAAAGTGATTTTCTAGTCTCTGCTTTTTTTGTTTAATTCTTGTAAGCAATAAATATGGAGTGTCAGTAGTCTCCTTCCACCCCAGAAATGTGGTGTAACATTCTCATTTCTTGTAACAACCTGGAAGTACCTTTCTTGTGATCTTCACTGAGGAATTAGAACTATGGTAGGAGCTAGGCTGTGGAGAATGGGACGTTTGTAGAGTGGGATAGAGGGGGCAGAATGACCCTGGCATAGGGCGGAGTGTGTGGTGTAGTTACATCAGTTTGATGCATGCTTCCCATCTGCACTCCAGATAGCTTTCTCAGTTCCAAGATTTTGCAGAGAGAAGGAGCAAACCTTTTCATTGGAAAAACAGAAACAACCCTCCCACCCATTTTTTTCCCTCTATTCATCAAACCTTTATGTTTCTTTCATCTTCCAGTTACCTCTAGGCATTTAGACAATGAGATTTACCTTTGAGCTATGACAATAAGTGATTAACTGCTCGCTTTCAGATGTAATGGCAAACAGTTGTTAAAAGTTATTAACTGATCACAGATTTGCCTGGACTTCCCTTCCCAGGGAGGCAACAGAAGTTAGGAGGCAACTTTGGGATGGTGCTAGAGCATGGAAAGCACAGAGAATTGGACAAACAGGTCTTTTTCTCTTTGATGTTTTACCTTTAAAAGATTCAACATCCTTACTGTTGGTATTTTTAGTAAGGTTATAGTAAATAACTTTACACCAGGATGGATTCTGAAATATAAATTCTAAATGATATTTGTTATAACTATATTTTATGTTGTATGTTATCAAGAGTCATCAGAGAATGACCTTTTTGTGTTTGGAACACTTAAACCTCAGGTTCCATGAAAAGTATGTTTTGTGTTTTAACTGTTAAAATACTTTAAAAAGTTAATTATTTTACGTAATTAAAGGTGTTAAAAACTGTCAACATTAAATAATTTCACAATTTCAACATGTCAGACCTATGAAGGGAGATAGAAAACAATGAGAAAGTTATTTTTGTTCCTTTATACAGAATTGTTAACTATATTTTACTAACTAAAAAACTCTAGTATTCTTTACCTAAAGTCAATTGACTGGTAAGAGGGAGAGATGCAAAATTCTCCAGTTCTGAACTCAGAGCTATTTCACACTCTACTCTCAATGGAAACTTGAACTAATGATAGATAGTATTTTTTTCCTCTATTTAAAATTTTTGTCTTGATTAGGAGATTTTTCAGTTCTTCGTATAATAATTTTCTACAATCAGATCTATGCTATGGCATATTTTGCTTTATTTAAAATTTTTTTTTTAGAGATGAGATCTTGCTCTGTCTAGATCTGAGGCTGGAGTGCAGTGGCATGATCATGGCTCACTGTAGCCTTGACCTTCCAGCCTTTCAAGTAGCTGGGATTACAGGCATGTGCTACCACACCTGGCTAATTTTTAAAATTTTTTGTAAAGATAGGGTCTTACCATGTTGCCCAGGCTGTCTTGAACTCCTGGCCTCAAGCGATCTTCCTGCCAAGGTGTTGGAATTATAGGTGTGAGCTACCATGCCTGGCCTGCTTTGACATATTTTATAGTGTATTAATTACAAATAGTCTGCGTATGCCAGAATATAAAAGCAAGTATTAACTACTTTTTAGATGGGAATTGCAGAAGCTGCATCAAAAGTATGCTTTGAGGTATATATGATGAAACAGAGCCTTTCTGAAGAGAATTATATCAAACTAATTACAACCAAGAAATAATAGCATGAAGCATATACTGTTTGAAGGACAGGAAAATTTTTTGGGAAAATTACATAATCACCTCTGATTCCACTATCCAGAGATAGGCATTATTATTAATATTTGATATGTACATCCTTACATTATTTTTTCTTATGCATGATTTTATATAGCTATTTTTCTTTCCATAAAAATGGTATTAAACTGTATATACTGTTTTGTAGCCTACATATTTCATATAGAAGTATATTGTTAACATTTTCCATGTCAATAAATATTCTTCTATGGCTTACATTTCTTATGGCTGCATTGTATTCTGTCTTCTCAGTATTTCCTATTATACTAACTAGTCCTCCACTTATTTCCAATTTTTAAATTTTTTTTAACTTTTCACTGCTATAAACAACTGTGAAAAACTACATCATTTGCAGATTTTTGTATATATATTTTATTATTTCTTTAGGAAAAGCTCCTAGATACAGAATTTCTTGGTCAAGGTTTGTACATTTTAATAGCTTTTGATTAGTTGAGTCAGATTGTCCTTCAGGAAAGTGTTATCAGTGATTGCTCCATTAACACTGTGTTGGAATATACTTAATACTAGCCAAAGATGGGAAAAAATAGGCAGTTTGCTTGATAACTCCCAAGATTCTTTCTAAAAGAAATAACCTTTTTGGCCAGGCAGTGTCTCACCCCTGTAATCCCAGCACTTTGGGTGGCTGAGGCAGGCTGATCACTTAAGGTCAGGAGGTCGAGACCAGCCTGACCAACACGGTCAAACCTGTCTCTATTAAAAATACAAAAAAAATTAGCTGGATGTGGTGTTGGGCACCTGTAATCCCAGCTACTCCAAGGGGGCTGAGGCAGGAGAATCACTTGAACCCGGGAGGCGGAGGTTGCAGTGAGCCAAGATCATGCCATTTCCAGCCTGGCAACAAGAGCGAAACTCCATCCCAAAAAATAAAATAAAATAACCTTTTGCCTTGAAATAATTGTAGCCTCACAAGAAGTTATAAAAGTTGTAGGTCCTGTGTACCCATCACTGAGCCTCCCCTAACAGTAACATAACTATAGTAAAATTTCAAAACCAGGAAATGTAGTTTGATTACAATTCCTTTGTCAGATAAATGATTTCCAAATATTTTCTCCCAGTCTGTGGCTTGTCTTTTCGTTCTCTTAGTGTATTTTGCAGAGTAAAGTTGTTAATTTTGATGTGATCTAATTATCTTTTTTTTTTCCTCTTTTTTGGATCATTCTTTTTGATCCAATGTCTAAGGACTTTTCCTAACCTTAGGTGTAGATTTTCTTCTGTTTTTAAAGTTATATCATTTTATGTTTTTCATTTAGATCTATTTTCCATTTTAGTTTTTACATAAGGTGTGAGATTAAAGTCAAAGTTTTTTTGTTTTGTTTTGTTTTTTGCTTATGGATGTCCAGTTATGGAAGTGAATAGTTTTTTTAAATTGAACTTTTTTTTTTTGAGACAGGATCTTGCTCTGTTGCCCAGGCTAGAGTGCGGTGGCCGGATCATGGCTCACTGCAGCCTTGACGTCCCTGGCTCAAGCAATCCTCCCACCTCAACATCCCAAGTAACTGGGACTACAGGTGCACGCACGCCACCACACCAGGCGAATTTTTCTATGTTTTGTAGAGATGGGGTTTCATTGTGTTGCCCAGGCTGGTCTCTTATCTCCTGAGCTCAAGTGATTTGCCTGTTTTGGCCTTCCAAAGTGCTGGGATTACAGGCGTGAGCCACCATGCCTGGCCAGATTGAACTTTTTACTGATAAATATTCACAAAGTAAACACAACTACATAGTCAGCACGTAGATTGACAAAGGACAACACCAACACCTCACAATCCCCTTGTGTCTCTACTGGTCATTATCTGTTCTCCTCCCTGCCAAGTAACCACTACCCTAATTTCTGATACCAGAGATGAGTTTGGTCTGTTTTACCTGTTAAGTAAGTGGAATTATATAGTACCTTTATTTTGACTCCTTTTCTAACATTTTGTTTGTGAAACTCATCTGGGTTGTTGTGTGTAGCAAAAGTTCTTTCATTTGTTCTTTGTTGTTTTAAGAGTTGGAGAGTCACTCTGTCACCCAGGCTGGAGTGCAGTGGCACGATCATAGCTTACTTTAGCCCCAATCCTTCTTTCTTTAGCCCCAATCATCAGGCAATCCTTCTGCCTCAGGCTGCCAGAGCACTGGGATTACAAGTGTGACACCAACCTGTGCCTGGCCTAATTCTTTCATTCTTATCACTGCATGGTATTCCATCAAATGAATGTGACAATTTTTTTTTTTTACCAATTCTATTTATGGATATTTGGGTTTCCAGTTTGAAGCTCTTACAATTAGTGCTGCTATCAACATTTCTGTACATGGCTGTTGGTGAACATATGTACACATTTCTATAGGGTTTATACCCAGGAATGAATTTGCTGGGCATTAGGATATGTGTATGTGGAGCTTTGGTATATTCTGCCCAGGTGTGTGCTGGGCTAGGTGCTGATTTGTAATGTTTGACAAGTTTCCATGTGTAAATACTCCCATTCTCTCCAGTTTCAAGCTGCCAAAGTGAATTCAGTTGGCTTACAAAATAGCTAAAAATTTAACAGTTGCTTCTGTGAGCTAGTACAAGCCG